ATGTTCCTTTTCAGATTCTTTTCCATTATAGGTTATTACAAGGTATTGAATGTAGTTCCCTGTGCTATATATACAGTAGGACCTTATTGTTTATCTACTTTATAAATAGTAGTTCGTATCTGCAAATTCCAAACTCCTAATTTATCCCTCCCTCTCTTTGCCCCTTTGGTAACCATAAGTTTGTCTTCTATGTCTGTGTTTCTGTTTTTGTAAACAAGTTCATTTGTGCCATTTTTGTTTAGATTCCACATATAAGTGATATCATATGATATTTGTGTTTCTCTGACTTACTTCACTTAGCATGATCATCTCTAGGTCTATCCATGTTGCTGCAAATGGCATTATTTCATTTTTTTAATGGCTGAGTAGTATTTCATTGTGTATATAGACAAACTACAGCTTTACAAAGGGATTTGCTAACAGGAGATTTGTTCAGGCCAGAAGCCAAGAGCTTGACAGCATCAACTATAAAAGACGGTGTGGTCAGACAGCAAGAAAACTGAGCTCCAAGTCAAGGTGGGGTTGCCAACAACCAGCTGAAGAAGACTAAACTGCCTCATGCCTCGGATTCCTCACCGTCACAATAATACCTCACACTGGCCTGGGATGGGTTTCAGGATACAATAAAATACAAGAGGTAAGAGCATAAAGACACAGGGTCTATATACACACACTTCTTTTTTTGCGGCATAAACAGCACAAAAAGATAAAGAGAACACATAGAGGCTAAAATACAGCCTGCCAAATCTCAGGATTCCAGCATTTTATTTATTGCTGATTTATGAACAGTGGTCTTAACTCCTGTGTCCCTAACTAAGAAACACCATTTCAGTCCTATTCCCCTCTGAGTCAAGAAATTCATCCACAATTTGTACTTACATCTCTTATGTCACACATTTGGGTCCATGTGAAGACTTGGTGCGCGGGTGGATAGACAGTGTGATGTTTTCTTTCTTCTGCAACAAATCCCATAAGCTGATTGAAAGATAAACTAGATTTAAACTCAAACTTTCACTGGAAAGCATAAGAATTCAATAAGAAAGCTTCTAATGCAAGCTATTCCAAGACCAATTACCGAGCTCTTTGCCATATTTTAGACCTAAATTCTGCGGAAAAACAACTTTGGGGTGGGTCGAAGTTGATTGGCCTCGCCGCTTTGGTTTCCTGTGGGTGCTAACCCCTCTCTTTTTTTAAAGGCCAGGTTTCATTCAGTCTGGTGTGTGGTTTCACTGCGCCACTCTTTCCTGGAGAGCAGACTAACTACGTAGGTTAAAAGAGGCTAGGATATCATTTTATAGTCTTTTAAAAAACTTCAACTGTGCAGATTCAAAACATAACGGCTGAGGGAGGAGGGTATATAGCTCAAAAGGTAGAGCGTATGCTTAGCACGCACAAGGTCCTGGGTTCAATCTCAGGTACCTCCTCTAAAGATAAATAAAATAAATAACTCCTCCACCCAAAAATCAAAAAAAAACAAAACAAAAACAAAACCCCACTACCGATGTATTTTACTCTCAGCGTAAAAAGGACGTCGAAGGAGGGAAAATGGGAGTTCACGAAAGCAGTATCCCATTAGCTTGGGCGGCTATATTAACAAGACAAAGTGCCCGCAGCCTCCACGTTTACCTTTATAAAATATGGTTTCCCGAACTCTCCGCTGAGGGGCTTCTTCCAGCTCTCACCAAAACCCACGGGCACATTGCGAGCTGCGAGTCTGAGCAGCGCGGCGGCCTTGTTCCTCTGGATGCGGACCAACTGCTCGGGGCTCAGCGGCGACGAGGGCGGCGTGCCGGGCTCCTCCTGCTCGGCCCGGGTCTTCTTGGCGGGGCTGGCCTGCAAGTGGTCCCAGCAGAAGCGAATCACCAGCTGCAGCGGGCCTCTCCCAGGGGCCCGCAGCTTCCGCCCCCAAGCCAGCGGCCCAGGGCAGAGGACGCCCATTCCTGGGGTTTCTAGGCCCACTCGGCAGGTCCGCGTAAAACCGGACTCTGGGAATCCAGGGCTGACCCCAGTCCGGCACTAGCAGGCCGCTGCCCCAAATTCCGAGTTTGGGACCAAAACAGGGCGGGGAGAGCTGTGAGCAAGACCCTGGCATCTCCTGAGGAGTTGGCGGGGAGGGAAGCAGGAGACCCAGACGCCCCGCCCCGCAGGTCCCGCCACTCGCGTCCCCACGTGGTCTTTTCGCGGCAAAAACCCTCCCCCCCGAGGACCCGCCCCCTCCTTCCCCTGATTGGAGAGCGGGCCCAGGAGCGCGGCCCCCTCGTCTCTGATTGGCGCCGTGGGCCCCGAGACTTGCCCCCATTGGCTGACCCCTCAGCATGGCCGCCAACAAGGCGCGCGGCGGCTGTTTTGAACACATGGAGGCCCCAGTGTATTCAGTCAGCGGAACGTTCCTGCAAGCCCTCGGTCGCGGGGGGTCCGCCACGCGCCTCACTCGCCTCACCCTCACCCTCCTCGCTCTCCCCTCCCCCCAATCCCTGGCCCCACAAGCGGTCTCCTCCGCGCCTCACCGCCGCATCCCCGGTCTCAGCTACCGCGGCTACGCCGGTCCCCGGGTCGGCCGGCTCAGGGCTGCAGGCATGCCGCTTCCTAGCGGGGCTTGGGGAGAAGAAGGAGTAGAGCGTCTTCTGGCCGATCATCCCGGAGCCGAGGAGGGAGCGAACGCGCGCCGCCAGGGGACCCGCGAGGTTGGCGCCAGCCGCAGCAGTCAGCAATTGGCGCCAAGCAGCCCGCGCATGCTCCGACAGGGGGTCTGGGTTGGGGGGCGGTGAAGGACCTAGTGCGCATGTGCGGGAGGGGCTCCTGAGTGACCGCCCTGGGGCGTAGAGGGCCTTGAAACAGTCTTGGAGGGGGCAGGGTTCCTTAAGTCAGTTCACTAATTTATTTACTCTTTCATTCATTAGTCTCACCCATCATACCTCTGCCTGGCCCCTCCACCTCTCAGAAGTAAGAAGAAGATAAAACTACCCGCCCCGCAGTGTTGTTGTGGGGCTGAAATTAGCGTTAAAATAGTATTTGTTTTGCTTTTAGAAACATCCAATTTTCACAACCTATTTTACTGTCGACTAACCAAGGCCAAGAGGCCTAACCTGTTAAGGTTTGGGGAAGACTTTAATAGAAGTCATGAAGGTTAAACTCCAAACAGGTCATCCTCGGAATGTCTCCACCCGACCCCACAACAGACCCAGAATTCGTCTCTTTCCCTCCCAACCTCCCTCCCCACATCCAGACGATCAACAGGTCTTCTTGGTTCTATCTTCAAAAAAAAATCTCCAAGATAAAGCCCGAATTCAAATGCTGCTCTCAGTCTCCTGGGTACAATCCTAGCGGGTCTCTTCTGAAGGAATAATCTTTTTTGAAATGTAAATTATACCGTAATAATCCTCACCTTAAAAATCCACCGAATATGCTTAGAATAAAATCCCTGTTTCTTATCCTGCTGGCTAGGCTGCTTCCGCCTCTCACGAAAGCCCCACTACTGTGACATGACCGAGTCTGGGAGTCTGGCTCACAGCAGATTCACGGGACACACCCAGCCTGTCACTTGTATGGTCTTCGCACCTTGCATGGGCTGTCTCCCTGCCTGGAAAACTTCAGGTCTCAGCTGGAAACCCTTCCTCTGCAGGGCCTTCTCCTCCTGCCTCACTTTCTAGCAGGATGCTCTATTCATAGCTTCTGTACTATCTAAAATTACCTTATTTATTCTTTCCTTGTTTATTTCTGTGTCCATCTCCAAAATGTAACCTGGGTGAGGGCAGAGACTTTATCCTTGTCACTGTTCTGTTCCAGCACCTAGGACAAGGAGCTTGATGTATTAGGAAAGATGCTCCTATTTTAAATTGTGTTTTTAAATAAAATAAAAGCCACTTTGAAAAACAGTTTGGCAGTTTGGTATAAAGAGAAAATACATTTACCATGTGCCCTGTGATACCACACCTATGTATTTACCTAAGTGAAATTAAAATCTATATTCACACAAGAGCTTGTACATGAATGGATATAGTGACTTTATTTGTATTTTCCCCAAACCGGGAACAACGCAAATCCCCGCCCCCCTACCCCCACCCCCGCCCCGCAGCCGCAAGTGAGTGAACAAACTGCAGGGCATGAGTACAATGGCCAATAAAAAGGAATAAACAACTGATGGGAACAACATGGATACATCTTGAAAGTGTTAGGCAGAGAGAAAGAAGCCAGACACAAAAGGATGTTTATTGTCTCATTCCACTTATAAGAAATTACGGAAAAGGCAAAACTACAGGGACAGAAAATACAGCAGTGGTTGCCAGGGGCTGGGAAAGGGGAGGAGAGTTGATATCTAGGAGGTTTGGGGGAGTTTTATGGGATGATGGAACTGTTCTGGATCTTGATTGTGATGGTGGTCACACAACTGTGTACCTTTGTCAAAATATGCAGGGCTATACCCTAAGAAGATTCAAAACAAAGCCCTGTGCCTCTGGGAGTTTTCGTTGCACCTGGGGAGGGAGCAAACAAAAATTGGTATAAATAGAAGCTGACATTTGTTTGGGGCATAGAAGCACTTCTCACACATCCTCCCATTTAATTCTGATGGTGCTCTCATGGCACAGATTTTTGTAGTCTCCGTCGTACAGAAGAGGCAATGCAAGCCCAGAGAGGTTAAGTGACCTGCAGGAGCCACACAGCTCAAGTGGAGGAGACAGAAATGGAAGTTACAGGGTCTGGTTGCAGAATCTGTGTTCCTACCTGCGACAATATTCTGGTGGCCCAACTCCCTGTCAGGACAGCAAATTAATCCCCAGGGAGAGGGGACACCGAACAACAGCTCCCAAACCACCCGTGACCCTCCCTGGAGGCCGAACAAATAACGTTACACAGAAACACCGTGGTGCTTGCAACGCGCCAGAGGGTCAACAGGTGGCGCCCGGAGGCCGCCCGCCGTCTTATTTTGCAAACTTGCCTGCGTTTTCTCCGGTTCGCGGCTGAATCTACCCGGAAGCAGTTCTGTGGTCGGGGTAAGTGTTTTCTCTTTCCCTCCAGCCCTTCTCTAGAGTGTGTCTGCAGGATTCGGAGCTTCTCGGGTGCTGAGATTTGAAAGAGAACCTTCTCCACCCCCACCTTACGTGTGACAATTCTTTTCTATCAGAACTCGGCGTGCGTGTGTATGACCACGTTTAATCGTTAATACATTTAGATTCTGAATCATATCCCTTTAAGGCTCTCAGTACTTACCTATTTAACTTACTTGTTTTAATACTTACCTATTTTAATAGGGCCGAATCCGTTATCCATCCCCCCTCCTTTGCAGGGTGGAAGGGAGACACGTGCTTTTCTGGGTGACTTTGGGCAAACCCCTCCCCCTCTCAGGGTGTCAGTTTCCCCATGTGTAAAGTGAGGGTGTCGACTGTAGTTTCCAAGTTTGCCAGTGGCATGCGAATTCTTTAAAATTTCAGATGTTTGGGGGTGGAGGGCAGGCCCCTGGGTTTTGCAAGCTAGTCTGCTGATTCTGATACCTATGCAGGTGGGGGTGACCTTCCCCCGGGATCCTTCCCGCTTTAACGTCCTCTTACTTTCTAGGACAAGGTGTTAAACTTAAAAATGGAAACTTAAAAACAGGAGGAATGCCGCTGTGGGACCACTTTGCAGAGTAGACTTAGGCAGTTGGGACGGAATCTAAGCGCGCTCGCTCGCGCGCTCGCGCTCGCTCGCGCGCTCTCTCTCGTGACGACCACTGGCTCCCAGGTCTTTGCTTGGTGAAGACAAGATGGACAGATTCCTGGTGAAAGGGGCTGTCAGGGGCCTTACGGGAGAGAGCAAAGGAGAGCAGACCGGAGGAGGCCCAGCAGGGGTGGGAGAAGAGGAGGGAAACAGCAGGAAAAAGCCCAGGAGAGCAGCCCCGGGGAATGGAGTCGACTCCACACGCCCCAGCTGGAGGCACATTCGAGCCGAGGGCCTGGACTGCGATTACACGGTCCTGTTTGGCAAAGCGGAAGCAGATGAGATTTTCCAAGAGCTGGAGAAAGAAGTGGAGTATTTTACAGGTAAGCAGAGGATGGCAGGGTGTGTGTGTGTGGAAAGCTTACTTGATAAAACTATTGGTCCATGTTTAGGGAAATCTGAAGCCAGGAGCCACGGATTACTGATGAATTTGTTATTGACTCAGCATGTATTCTGGGCACCTCTGGGCCAAGCACCTTGCTGGGTGCTTGGGATACAGAGGGATTGCCTGTCCACTGAGAGCTGTTTCTCAAGGTGTAGGACAAGAATCAGTCCTCACGGGAACATTTTGGGGGAGCCACAATGATTTTTGAGGAGGGGGTCCTCGGTCAGGGTTCTCTACATTTTTCCTGTTTTACTTTCTTTCTTGAATACTCAGGGAACCAGTGTCGGGGGACGCTCACCTGCCTGGATTTCTAAGGAGCTGCTGTGTTTTGCCTGCACAGGTGCACTGGCCAGGGTCCAGGTGTTTGGGAAGTGGCACAACGTGCCCAGGAAGCAGGCGACTTACGGCGACATTGGGCTGACCTACACCTTTTCAGGCCTTACTCTGTCTCCGAAGCCCTGGATCCCCATCCTAGAGCGCGTCCGGGATTGTGTTTCTTTGGTGACTGGGCAGACCTTCAACTTTGTGCTTGTCAACAGGTGACCCCCTTACCTGTTTTTAACATTTTTCTTTAGGACGGTGGACTGAATTTTATAAATCTTCTGTCTCTTCCCAAAGAGACAGAAATACATCGTATTTTGCTCATTTGCACAGCAAACAGTTCTTTAGTTAGGGGCACAGTAGTGGAACAGAGCAATTGTTCTTTACAGAGCCCAGGCTGCTGACCAGGTGAATGAGATAATTTCACCCAATGATAAGTGTCCTGAAGAAAATTAAACAGACTGATCTAAGAATGGCTGGGAGGAAGCGGTCTGGGTTTCGGGCCGTGTTTCTCAACGGCAGCACTGTTGATGCTTTGGGCTAGATAATTCTGTTGTCCTGGGGCTGACCTGTGCGTTGTAGAATGCTGGAGACATCCCTGGTCTCCACCCACCAGGTGCCAGTAGCACCCTTCCCTTTGGTTGTAGCAAAAAGAATGTCTCCAGACATCGCCTAGTGCCCCCTGGGGGCAGAGTCGCCCTATTTGAGAACTCTGGGTTTAGGGGACGGTGGTTAGAGGAGGGTTCACCGAGGGGGTGACTAAACAGAAGAGTGTATGTGAGCCACGCAGGCATCTGGAGGGAGAGCAAAGGGAGCTTGGAGTGTCTGTGGTGTGGAAATCCTGCTGACCGGGCCGGAAAGCAGCGACTGAGGGAAAGAGGGGACGGGGATGAGCTCAGAATTGGGCAGGGGCCAGACTGTGCGAGGAGTAAGGGTTTCAGTCTAGTATAGGGAGAAGCCGTCTCATTCGATAAACGGTTGCCTGCACGAAGCAGAACTCTCACACATGCATTTGGCTTCTCTTGCTGTGCTGTTTCACAGCGTGTGAACAGACTGGGCTCCGGGCTGGGCTCAGCCCTGGCAGAAACACGGCCGAGCCCCGTGCTCGCGGCCCCGTTTCCCGCTGCGGGAAGAGGAGGACTCTGCGGGGTGGGCGGGCGAGTTTCCCCGAGGGGGCCGTTCGGTGAACTCTGCCTGGTTCCTCACCGCAGGTACAAAGACGGCTGTGACCACATCGGTGAGCACAGGGACGAGGAGCGCGAACTGGCCCCTGGGAGCCCCATCGCCTCTGTCTCCTTCGGGGCGTGCAGAGACTTCTTTTTCCGACACAAGGATTCCCGGGGGAAGCGCCCCTCCCGGAGGCTGGGCGTGGTCAGGCTTCAGCTGGCCCACGGAAGCTTACTCATGATGAACCCCCCGACCAACACCCACTGGTATCACAGTCTCCCTGTCCGCAAGAAGGTTCTGGCTCCCCGGGTCAATTTGACATTTCGGAGAATCCTGCCTGCTACCAAGTGAAAAACGTTTTTAACAGTTAGTACTTCTGTTTGCATCTTCTGTCTCTCCTCCCAAGAGGGAGCTGGCGTTTCCTTTACCACCAGGGAACTTGGGAATAATAACCCAAGTGCAGGGCTTATCCTCACAATGCAGAATTCAGAAAGAGGATGTTGGTATCAAATCGGTGAATTAGGACAGAATACCGGTTGCTTTTTTTTTCCTAGCAAAACGATTCTTTTATTGCTATAATACACAGCAGATACAAAAGGTGCCTTTAGCAAATACATAAATCAGCAGTTGTTATGCCAGAAACTACTAGTGTAATGTACGTTTTCGCAAAAGGAAGCGACTCTGTAAATAACTTAAAACCGGAAATAAGATGACTCGGCTGCTACTTAACTGCCTAATAATTTACAAAATGAGGAAGTCAGGAGAAGAGACTTTGCATGGATATCATTCACATTTACAGCTGAGGCTCTGCCCCTGACCTGTGACCAGAGACCTGACAAGGAGACGTCCAGAGGATGAGGCACCCAGTATCTCTTTAATGGCAGATTTCAAAGAGGAGGCAGTGGCGGGACAGTGGTACCCAGAGCTACAGCTTTGCAAGGCAGCTGGAGGTCACGCAGTTGAGCATTTGTTCCCCCGGACTCATATACAACCTGCCACCAACAGATCAGAAGCTCCACGCTGCTCCTCTCACCCTGACGTTCGCGGCCTCAAGAACCTTCACAGGACAGTCTGTTGGGAGCGAGTGCTCTGGGTCCTCGGGACGCACGCTGGCCGGTGGGACGGTGGTCCCCTGGGCCTCTGGCGCTTATGCCTGACCCCAAGGCACTGTCTGCAGGTGTCCGCCAGCTCGCACCCACCAGGGACAGAGCAGTTCTTAGCCTTACCCCTAGTGACCTTTCGGATGCGTCTGATTCCAGATCTTATCTCTGAAGAGTCTGTCTAAATTTGGTATCCTTTTTTTTAAAATAAAAAATCTCGCTAAAACATAGACCGCTGTGATGTCAAAATTCTTTCCGGCCTGGGCTGCATCTGTGAGACTTACCTGGAGGGGGAGGAGACACTCAGTAGTCTTTTTGTGTGAGGCTGCCGGGGCTGAATGCACTGGGAGTGTGGACCTGCGACAGAGCGACAGTACCAGGTATTAGCTGGAGTTCTATGTTTAAACGGTGTTTTTCTAAAACTTCTTTCAACTTGTTCTTTGTGGGAAGGCCTGTAACTCCGATGGTCGTCGAGTTTAACTCTTCACTTTACAGACGAGGAAACTGAGGTCCAGAGAGGCTGCAGCCCCGGGGCCAGGGCCCTCTGTTCTGAATCTGGCTCTCAGAGGGAGGCCGGTATTGTCTTTGTGGCCCAGCCCCTGCCGGCCCCGCCTGTAAACCTTAAGAGCTCTGCATGGGCGATGAATACGCGGATGAGAATCGCTGTCCATGGGGGATCTGTGTGTGAGAAAGGGTTTCCCACAGAGCAGAGGAGTCGTAAGTGAGACAGGAGGCCGCTGAGTTCCAGCTGTTCACATGCCCGATGGGCCACGGTACCCACATTTCCAAGTCCGCTGTACAAAAAACAGGAGCAGCCAGAAAGCGGTTCACCGGTCACTGACCAAGCGGTGAGAGGCCCTCCTCAAGGGGCAGATTTGGAAATGAGCTTTTACCATATATAAAGAATTGAAAGGTTAGAAAAAGACATACAAAAAGGAGGGAAGGTGGTAGGCTTTAGGCATCTTTAACTCTTCTTTTGCTCTCCATTCAGTTAACTTTGGGAGGAACAGAGCTTTTCAAAAACTTGTTTCTGTGACTCTCTGATAATGTGGATTTTTCCAGAAGGGATGTGCTACAAAAGCAATTGAAAAGTGAAAGGCACTTTTTCTTCTAAATTGTTGCCTTTAATAATTTCACTAATTCAACCATTTTTACGGGCCAGCTTATTAAAAATAAGAGATCTATGCTGAAACATCAGGGGCTCAGACAAAGTTAACTCCCCTCTGAGAACACCTAACACAGCAGGGTACAAAAAAGGGGCTTCCAGAGTCTGGTTTCTTTAATTACCTGTATCAGGTGAGTAACGAGACGCTCTACACAGAAGGACTGCCTTCCTAACAGGGCGATGGTGCCCTCCAGCGCACACCAGCGGGGCAGTGCGGGGAGCCGGATCGGGTTTGAATCGGGGCCTCTGGCTCCCATGTGAAACCTGCTCTAAGAACACACCAGGAGGCTGGAGGAGTCTAGTGGAGCTGCGTACACACACTCGCAGGCACACGCACACGCACAGACACGCACAGTTTGGACAGTGCCATCAGCTCTAGCTTTGGGGCCGGCGCAGGCTCATTCTTCGGACTTGTACTCCCGCCCCTGGTGCTGCATCTTGGAGAGAACGCGCTCGTAAAACAGCAGGTACGCGCTGGACGACAGGACCTCCTGCAGGCTGGCCTTGCGGACGGTGTCGTCAGAAACCCACAGCCACTGGCTGCTGGTGGACAGAGGGCTCTTGGCCGAGGGCGGGGACCGCCGGTAGGTCACGAAGTGTCCGGAGTGCATGTCTCCGTGGTGCACGACAACCGCCATCAGCTGGAAGAGGTACGTGGAGGAGCTGGACGGGAGGAACAGATGCCAGGCGTTTTACCAGTACGGCAGGGGCGGCTTACGGGCAACAGCAAAAAAGGACAGGAATCCTAGAGGTCCGACAGGAGGGGGCTGATACAGTGGTACATCCGTACAATGCAATACTGCTCAATACTAGGGGGAGGGTGTAGCTCAGCGGTACAGCGCATGCCCAGCAGGCACAACGTCCGGGGTTCAACCCCCAGCACCTCCATTTAAAAATAAATAAATAAATAAACCTAATTACCTCCCCCCATTAAAAAAAGTACTATACAGCTGGTAAAATACACACGTACATTTACTGGCATGGTGAAATGTCCATCCTGCGAGTGTATGTATGCTGTGGGGTACACACACACATACAACTTTACAGAGTGGAAGGCCTTAGAGATTTCACTGGTGATCTCTGGGTGGTATCCTAAGAAATTTTAAGTTTTCTTCTTTATATTTTATTTACACATACTTTCATATACACGTGTAAACACATAACATTGAAATGTTACGTACTTTTTTTTCTAAACTGAAGTATAGTCAGTTTACAATGTCGTGTCAATTTACTGGTGTACAGCAAAATATTTCAGTTGCACGTATACATACATATATTCATTTTCTTAATTCTTTTTCATTACAGGCCATTACCAGGTATTGAATATCGTTCCCTGTGCTAATTCCTATTTGTAAAGTGGTCAGTGAATGAAGCATGTACTCCTGGAGAGCGACTCACCTGTAGTCGGGAACGGCTGGGAGGGGGAAGGGCACCGGGCTTGGCAGGGTGGGCAAGAAAGGCGGGGAGCAGGCGCCATTCATGAAAATCTGTGTTTTGCGGCCCCCAGGCTGGTTCCGACCTGCAAGAGAAAAAGGCCCGAGGCAACTGAAATGAGCTGTGGCTTTGGGGAAACAAAACATGGCTCCGATTAGCTTGAAGTTTTAACTCCCCAATGATGCTGCAGAGAAAAAACAGACAGTTTATTTTGTATTATGTTGATTCATAAAACTTCCTACCTTTTGGTCCCTGCCTGTTTTAACCCCGAACAAGAAAATGTACCCAGCTCCTGGTCTACGGCTCACCTGGACAGCTCTGAGAGTCTTGGAGATGCCTGGCCCTGTCTGATAAAGACACGCATCACAGTCAAGCAGTAGCCAACTTACTGGCATTTTGCCCTAAACCCAGGGTTCTCAACCTTGACGCCATGGACATTTGGGGCTGGAGGTCGAGTGGCATCCCTGTCCACGCACCAGGATGAGGTACAGTAGCTCCTCATCTCCCAGTTGTGACAACCAAAAAGGTCCCCAGCCATTGCCCAGTGTACCCTGGGGGGCAAAACTCCCTGTTGAAAACCACGGATGGAAACATTCTCTCCTCTTTGTCAGCTTCCGAGGAACAACAGCTGTCAACAGCATTGAGACGTGTTCATGGATGTAGATAAGATAATTAAGGAGATAGTTACATCTCTTTTCCTTTCAAGGGTCAAATTTGGGGGCCTTTAAGTACCAAGTACTTCACTGTTGGCCTCTTGGACCACAATGCTCTGAACATGGGCAGACCTGCACCCGCCCCGGCAGGAGGAGGAAGCCAGAGTGAAGAGGTCCATGATTTAAAACTGAGCCCTCTTCCCACCCAGGCTGTTCCTGACATTAATCTACTGATCTGTAGAGAAAGGATGACACTCGGTCACCCCATGAATGATGTCCGGCCAGGCCACACAACTGTGCACGTAAGAAAGGAGGGTGCTAGGGAGGGAAAATCCGGGGTGCGGGGAAGACGCTTGGTTTGACGGTGAGTGGTACACAGGTGGTGAGTTCAGGCCTGAAGCCTTGGAAGTCGGTGAATTCTCTTTACCTACAAAGAACTCAACACACTACATACGCACCTTTACAAGATCACCCAACACTCCCCTCGAATGCCAGTTCCCACATCTGCTGTTTGCCCCTGGACCAGTCACTCAGCCTCTGGGAGCCTCGATTTTATCTTCAGTGAGACTGAGGGTGATAATAGCTACCTGGCTTCAGTGGGACCCAATTCAGTAACCCCAAGGGAGGACAGTAATGAGATCAGATAAGTGAGCAATTCAGTAAAGAAGTATTAACCCAAACGAGATGTTCGGGGGTCCTCAGCCAGGACACTGACCCCCCATGTTTCCGTATAAATAAGCTGACTGTGTTGTGGGGGAGAAAAGAGAAGAAACGCACTGGAGGGAGGTGAGCCAATTACTGTTTAGTCAGAAGACCAGAAAGCAATCTTCGACTTTCCGGCCAATACTTTGCCACCTGTTTTAAAAATCAGACATCTCACTACGATATCATTTTAACTTTTTTACCAAACTTTCCCTTGCCCACCCCGACCCCGCTGTTCTCAAGAACAGAAGCCACCATGGGACAAGCCCTGCCCTGGTGGCGCAGGGGACCCAGAAGCTTCCCTGCTCTGCTGCAGATCCTGGCCGTGTCGACCCCTCGGGCACACCTGGTCTGGGGGCCGCCGGCCCGTCCTGCAGGTCCAGCACGGGCCCCGCGTCGTCGCGCGGCTGGGGGCTGCAGGGACCTGGCTTGTGTCCAAGGAGGCGGTATTTGTAGATGTCCATCATTAGGAACTCGTTGAACTGCACGTGCTCATGCCGCTTCAGGGGCGCGCCGTGGCTGGACCAGCTCAGCCGCTGGAGGTGGATGCACAGGCACTGGGGGAGCTGTGGGAGGGAGAGAGGCCGGGAGGAGCCGCATGTCGGCAGTGGGACAGGGACCTTGGGGGCCAAGCCGGCCGGCCTGAGGCAAGGGCTCACCTTCCCTAGTTTCAGCTGTTTGACAAAAGTGGTCCTTTGGTGTTCCACCTTCTCCCCGCTCAATGTCCCTTGCGCTTCAATCTGAAATAGAGGAAACCTCTCTGTGTAGGATTTCTGGAGCCAGGAGCTCCAGGGGGAGCTGCAGGTCGGCTGGTGTCCCACTGCGCTCACCTGGCCCTGACTCCTCCCTGCGGGAAGAACTCCGCTGCCCAGCTGTGTGCCAGCTGTGTTCACTGTTTCAGTCGTTAACAGGGACAATGGAGGCAAAAGATAAAGGAAGAGGCCCCACTGAAACTCTGGTACTATCATGTCATCTACTTTGCTCTGGGTCTTCAAAAACTGTCCCCTGCAGTTCCTCTTAATTCAGAGGATGAAATTCCATTGCCTGGGGGAGTCAGGCAGGTCGCTGTGCTAAGGCAGGTGTGAGACAGGTGGGCGTGGAGGGGACTGGAGCACACTGGAGGGGACATGTCCCACCACAAAGTGCAGCATTCTCATTTGTTCTTTAAACATTTCATGGATGAAACAAAACTCATCTGGGGGCCTTAGTCCATGGGCCACCAATTTCCTAACCAAGTTAGGCAGAAATGGCTGTGGCTGAAGAGAGCCTCTGGGTAGTGTCACAAGAGCCCAGGGCCAAGCGCATGGGAGGTGCAGTGCTGGGACACATGGGCCAGCTCGGGAGGTGGCATCTGGGGTTAAAGCCATACCTTCGTACAGTTGTCACAGACGACATCCCGCACTGATTCCGACGAGATGAAGTGGTGAAGGCAGTGGTCCAGGGTCAGTGGATGACCCTACAGCACAAGAAGAACATTCAGGATTACAGTTCTGGGAGAAGTACTCTGAAACTGCTAACAGGGAGAACTGCAGAGCTCCATTCTGCCTGGGTAGGCAGTAGAGCTTCACCGACACGAGTGGATGCTTCCTGAACAACACGAAGCTCAGAGCAACCGAGATTTGCTATTATGAGTGGATGTTCAAGGCTTTGAGGCCCTAACACTGCAGAAAATTATGGGCTTCCACACTCTTTAGATATGTCTGAACTTGAGTTAATGTGTGTATGTGTGTGTGTTCAAAAAAGCCAAAATTTCTGCAGCCAGGAAGGAACCGGCCACCTTTTTCTCCCCTCAAACCAAGCCATGCTTCCACAGATTAAAACCAAGACAGGTTCAACCAGCCAAGTGTCTGAGTAACGTGTACTACTACTGAGCTACACAAAATGTCTCAAAGCCCTTTCCGATTCGAACGTCTCCAAAACAGACCCCAAATCAAGCACAGATCAGTACGTACCCATGTGGCAGCTGGAATACTTAGTGAAAGGCTATCAAAGGTATCAAATCGAACGGGACTCTGAAACACATATTGCAGAAAACCCAGAAAGGACTTAGGTTCAATTCAAAGCATTACAGGTGGGAAGACACATGCCTACAAAACAGTTTAATATTTAGATGCCCCATATTAACACACTAAAACATAAAGTACTTACCTAGAAGCAAATTCTATTAAAAACAACTTCGTAAATGTAAGAAGGACAATAATACTAAAGGACAGCTTGGAAACATTGTACAGTGACATACATGACTCAGCAGTTTGGGGATTTTATCCTAAGGAAATAACCGTGGATAACATAACTACCAGGATGCTCATCACAGCATCATTTGCCATGGCAAAATGTGAATGGATGCAACTTCTAGGGAACAATTAGATAAATTATATCATGTCCATGTGGAATGGAATACTATATTAAAAATAGTGTAGAAGAATACATGATTATATGGAGAGAAGTGCATGTTATGTTATTAATTGCAAAAAAATGATAAAATAAGGTGAAGAGTTCCTGCTCTTGATGATGGCAGAGTAGCCTGGCCAGACTAACTCTCCTTGAGATAATCATTGTAAGATGTGGCCCAGATCAAAACACTCTCAACGACTGGAAGGCTAAATAGCAGGGAGAAACTGAAAAGAAGTCAGCTCTTGGAAAGATAGGAACTCTGTGTGTGAGATTTCCACTGTGTGGCTTTTTTGCCTGAGGGTATGCCCCCCCGCCGCCCCCCCCAATCCACGCAGTTCAGTGTTGGGTGGGACAAAGCAGCAGTCTTACAAGGTTGAGGGATCAGAAGGCAGTTCAGGCCTGGTACAGAGGCTTGAGGACATTCCAGAAAGAGAGGAGCTAAGAGAGGATAAGCCCTAAAGTCTACGTATAAACCCCACCCAACTCCATGGCTGAGCCCTGAACCACACAGACACAGAGGAGATGCCAGGGAATCTGGCCAAAAGCAGCAGCTGGAGGCTGAAAACACTGAGCAGAGATTCTGCGCCCAGGGCTGGGAAGATGGAGTTCGGAGTTTGAGCTCAGCCAAGTTAACTGCCTGCTAAAACAGAATTCATTATTTTTCAGAGAAACATACCAGAATCCAGAGTCTTTACTACAATGTCAATATGCAATAAAAAAAAATGACTAGACATACAATACAAAGAAAGAAGAAAGTGTGACCAGGGGTGTGGGGAAGAGGAGATGATGACCTGGATGGTGAAATCCGCACAAGGACCCTAAAGGAGGATTATAATGTGCTCAGGGATGTAAAGGAAGAGCTATTTAGATCTAAGGGAGGACTAACGGAGAATGTCAGCAGAGAAACAGAAATTATAAAGAACCAAATGGAAGTTATACAACTAAAAGGAACAATAACTAAAAGGAAGAATTCACCAGGCAAACAGAAATTCAAGATGGAAAAGAGAGTTAAACTTGAAGATAGGTCAAGAGAAATTATCTAAATTGAAGGACATGGAGGAAAAGCATTGAAGGAAAAAGAACCAAGCCTCAGTGACCTGTGGGACAATATCAAATGGACTAACAAGTGAAGAATGGGGCATACATTAAAACAAAAAAAATTAGCAGCCAAAAAATACACAAACTCAGTGAAAAACATAAATGTACAGACTTAAATTCAGCAAATCCCAAGCAAATACAAAGAAAACTAGCTATGCACCACACGTACAAACTACTGAAACCCCCAAACAGAGAAAATCTTGTAAGCAGCCAGAGAAAGTAATGACACTTTACATACAGAAGTAAGAAAAAAATGCTTAGCATTAGAAACACTGGAGGCCAGAAGACAACAGAACAGTGTCTTTAAAGAGATGGATTTAAAATAAACCAAGCCTAAACAGCAACACTGTCAACCCCGAATTCTATATGCAGCCAAACTATTCTCCTAAAAAAAAAAAAAAAAAGGCAAAACAGGAACATTTTCATATAAATGATATCTAAGTGAATTTGTTAATAGACCTGCAAGATATTAAAGGAATATTTCTAGACTGAAGGAAAAAAACATCAAATGGACTTAGAGTTACAGGAAGCACCAAGGTATACTGAAAATGGTAAATATAAAATTTTTTTCTTTTGAACACATATAGCTGTTTAAAGCAAAAACTATGACAGTGTTGTGGGGTTTATAATGTATGTAGATGTAACATATACGACAAAAGAGAGCAGAAAGAATAGGGTACCAGAACCATACTTTTGTAAGGTTCCTGTATTTTACACAAAGGTATATATTAACTCTAAACAGACTGTGATAAGTTAAAATTGCAATAAAACGAAGTTTATCCCAGAAACACAAAGCTAGTTTAACATTAGAAATGTCAATCACATTAGAAAAATCAGTCACTGTAATTCACCACATTAACAGAATAAAAGAAAAATTTTATTCTGATCATCTGATCATTTTTATGCCCGATCATCTCAATATATGCAGAGAAAGCATGACAAAATCCAATCATTATTCATGACAAAAACTCTCACAAAGTAGGAATAGAAGAGAATTTTCTCAGTGTGATAAAATGGGTATATGAAAACTCAAAGCTAATATTGTACCTAATTATGCAACACCAAATACTTGCTTCTTAAGATTTGAAACAAGGCAAGGATGCCTAGCACCACTCCTA